AGCTAATAGCTGACCCTCGTAGTCCGTTCTTGCCCGAGTGCGAACTTCATTTTTTTGAATTTCAAAAAGATTTTCTCCGCTTAATGGATAACCATTTGCTACCAATGGAGAATTGCTTCTCATCTTAAATTCAGGTGATTGGATTTGCACCAATGGAAACCATAAACTTTATCCACAATAAGAAAGGGGGGGTCCGATTCGCTTATTTTTAGATAGTGAATGGGTTTCTTTTTTCCATTCTATCCTATTCACTGGTGTTGATCATTCATACGCGAAAGCGGTTTTCTTGCTTTTTTGTGTCAGTTCATGATCTAAACGAGTCGCACATACACCCTAGTACATGTTCCTCGGCGCTGAGGACATCCCCCAAGGGCGGGGGATTTCTTGACATTTCGAATTGGCTGTCTTGGATTTCTAAGAAGTTGTTTAATAGTTGGCATGTTGAATCAGATACTTAATAGGCGGGTTTAGATTGATCCTAACCCGACCACCCTAACCCGCCTATTAAGTATCTTACTCTTCATAGGATCCCTATGATCCATTAGGGATATAGATCTGCCAATTTTCCATCTTAGGTATCCGGCGGCGGATCCATTTGAAACTAACTAGAATTTACCCATAGATCACTTTCCCCAAGCATCAGAGCTTTTNTTTTCTTTTAAAAAATCTAATCACAATTTAAATTTAACTCAAATTTAACTTAATCCCATATTCTCAATATAATTAAATCATACCCAATAAATCATCACACACATAACATTAACTTTACTTCAGTATTAATTTACTCAAGTAATTTCAATTACCCATCATTTCTAATTATTCGTCTCATACTTTTTATATCAAATTATCTTTAATCATTTTATTTTAATAATTATTTTAATACACACTCAAAATCTCATTCAAATCTAACTCAGCCTATGTTATCAAAGTTAACCCTGATCTATACTACTCTAAAGGACGAGTGTTTTTGTAAAAATATGAACTACCTAAAATAACCTTACTTTGACATACTTTTAATGGCAAATTAGTAATACACTAATACATATTTTATTTATATTTTTAATTAAAAAGATGAATTACCTAAAAAACCCTTACTTTAACATGTTTTTTAATGGCAAATATAAAGGCACAAAAATAGAGGGAAAATGGAAAGTTGTCATAGAAGAGATAATACACTAATACCCATCATATCTTATATTTTTAATTAATACCTAATGCTTAATTTATTAAATACAATACAAGAACAATACATTTCACATCTCCTAAAAATCAAACAAAATATTCACGCACAATTCTTTATCACGAAATGGCTTTCTTCCACATATCTCCCAAAAATCAACCTAACATCAACCTAAACAACAAAGTTTTGAAAAGATATAGAATTGTTGTTTTAAAAAAATTCTTGTTTTTAATATAATTTTATACATTATCTTACAAACTAACTAAGTTGAACAATTTCATTTAGCTACTTCATTATTTAAGAAAGTAAACTCTTATATTTAGAACTAGAATAGAAATTGCACTTTAGTCTAGAATATTTGGTTTGTGTAATTGTATTTAATTAAGTAAATATTAAATAAGTATTAGTATATTTCTAATTTGACATTAAAAATATGTCAAATAAAAACTTTATATATTTTTTCCATAATAAATTAGAAAAAAAAAGTAAATTGTGTAATAGTATGAGAAATAAATTGTTGAATAATTATTTTGCAACCTAAACTCTAAAATACTCAATTTTTTTACTTAAATAAGATTATTGTCATTTTATGTAATTATATAATACTAAAATCCAATCCATTTTTTAGTCGAATGGGATATTGCTTGAGCAGCATGATTTAAGGTTGATCATATAATTATCTACGAATTAGTTAAGATGTCTAGAGAATCATGATATGCTTATACGCTGAAAATTAATTAATTTTTACCAATAAATTATATCATATATCATCATTACTCATCTATTATTAATAACTATAACTAAAAAAATTAAAATCGATAATGTTTTCCTCACAACACCCATAAATTATAAGAACGTTTTTTTTTTCAAAATAACCTGTAGAAGTAATGTAGTAGTATGAAAAATAAATTGTTAAATGATTGTTTTGCAGCGTAAACTTCTAATATACTTTTATGAAATGCATAATACTAAAACCCATACTATTTTATTTTTATTTCAAATGTATACTGCTTGAGCAACATGATTTGCTTCGGTAAGCCCTCGTTTTCTTGCTCTTTGTCTGCGAGTGTTGAACTCGGTTTTCGCCGGCGGCACTTCACCTTTTGAGGTGGAGCCGAGCCGTTTGTCTTTGGTTATCTGCGGTGGAGATGTGCTGTGTCCGATTCGCTGGGAGGGGCGGGACCTGGGCTGCCGCGTCGTTCTTTGTCGCGACAGTCGGGGAGAGGGCTGCTCGCTTCTTGCTCAAATCCCCGTCAACTAGTGGTGTTAGGCGACGGGGGAGGTTCCATCGGCCTCGTCTAGTGGTGATAGAAGAGTTCGGTTGGAATCGGAATGGGATGGATGCTGGCCCTCTTGGTTGTCGATCGGTTGACTCGGGGATTGGTTCGGGATTCGGGTTCCGCTGCTGTATAGGCTTAATTGCAGTTTCGGTAGCTGGTGCTTGGTCTGGATTGGTCTTGGTCAACTGTGCACTTCTAGTCCGGGCTTACTCGTTCGCTGCGGAAGGGCTATTAGATTATTCAGTTTTAGTGTTGTTGTGTTCTTGTTATCTATATATGTGTTTTGGTTTGGATTAGTCTGTCTTGTGTCTGTATTAGGTTTGCTCTGGTCTTGTTTTTTAGGTTTGGGTCACTTGGCCCCTGTGCGAGGGATTACTCCGTTGGAGTCGTCCCACATTACCTCGTTGGGGGTCGTTCCACATTACCTCGTTGGGGGTCGTTCCGCATTTAGGTCGTTGGTGTTGTATTATTGTGTCTTGTGAGTTTTCTTTTCTAGCGTTGCTAGTCGTCTCTAGGCGGTCTTTTAGACCTGTCCTCCCAGTTTTATTCAGCTGTTGGCTGTATCATTCAGCCATGGGCTGTGTACTTTGCACATTTGTGCGTTTTTGTTATATAATATTTTCTATCGTTTCGTAAAAA